AGGTGGAGAACATTGCATTTTTCAATGTTAAACACCATAAGGTTCTCGTCCACCCATTTGCTAAGCCTGTCCAGATCAGCCTCGACTGCCCTCCTGTCTTCTAGTGTGGATGCTTTGCCCCAGAGTTTGGTGTCATCAGCGAACTTGGCCAGTCTGCTTCTGACTCCAATGTCCACATCATTAATGCAGATGTTGAACAATATGGGTCCAAGGACAGAGCTTTGGGGGACCCCACTGGTCACAGGGCACCATGACAATTGACTTCTGTCAATTACTACCCTCTGGGTCCAACCATGGAGCCAATTTCCCAGCCAGCGGATCATGGTGGACCCAAGGCCACAATTGGCCAGTTTCGCCAAGAGGTGATCATGGGATACCAAATCGAAGGCTTTTTTGAAGTCAAGATATATGACATCAATCTCTTCTCCCTTGTCCAGGTGATTGGTCAAGCAAGACCTACCCACAACAAACCTGTGCTGGCTATCCCTCAGGATGTTGGCATCGGCCAGTCCATTAAGGATGGCCTCTTTAATAAACTTTTCTAAGATCTTCCCCGAGACAGAAGTCAGGCTGATGGGCCTATAGTTAGCCGGATCCACTTTCCTCCCTTTCTTGAAGATAGGCACCACATTGGCCTTCTTCCAGTCTTCGGGCACTTCACAAGAGCACCAGGAGTTTTCAAAGATCCGTGCTAGAGGCTGGGCGATGATGCTCGCCAGCTCCTTGAGTACCCTGGGGTGTAGATTGTCAGGGCCAGCTGACTTGAAGGTATCCAGCTTCTCAAGGTGTTCCTTCACAAGGTCAGCATTAATAGAGGGCAGGGAATCTCCATCACCCGGACCTCCCTGTCCTGTGGTGGGCCACGGGAATGGGTCTGTACTCATTAGGCTGCAAAACAAGCTTGGGTGACAGGTAAGACCATCTGGTTTTCTCTGAGGTGTTTGCTGCTCAAGGTCACTCAGCAAGGCAGGGCACAGACAGTCCTGGCTCCCAGCCTCCTTGCCCTAACTCTTAGATCAGAATCCTCTTTTCCTGAAGCCTTTTCACAGCCAAATAAGTGAGACAGTTTTTTTTTCAAGGAAAATGATTAGCAGCTGATTTTTATAATAAATTAATCTGTACAGCAAGTGCCAGTAATAGTTAAGAGGACACAGATAGTTCTCTGCTTTAAGAATGGGGCACTAGCTGTAGTACCCCACAATACTGTGGATTATTTATGATAACCACTGTTTCACTCCATACTCCACCTTGAGCAGCAAACAAATAGCAGTTTGTTTTACCAGTGAGTGGAGCAGCATAGTGGTGTGATCTCCTGATACAGTCTGGAAGCATGCAAAACTGCATTTCATATTTTCCTATCTGGATGAAATGGTTAGGGCACTGATGGGAGTGATCACAAATATCACACACATTTTACCTCTCCTAATCTGAAAAAGTACAAATGAAGTTAAGTTAGATACTATATTCTCTTTAGAAAGACTGCCACAGAGAGGATGCCAACTTATCAGTTACTCTTTTTTGTAAGGCATCAAATACCAACTTCCAAATCTATGAAACACTGTCTGGTATTATTGCTCAATATGCACATTCCATCTACGTCATCTGGGCATTTGTAAAGACTAAAGTTTTTGATTAAGTGTTGTGCTGTTTGTTGGACACTACATTCACACAGGACCTGTCCAAGATGTTCACCTTGTGAAGCACTGTTTTGAAGCATTGTTATCCAGAGCATAATCTGTTCAGCTTGACACATGCTTCTCTGACAAAGTCATGCCCAATGGGGTACTTGTTTAGTGTTGGTATAAAATGCTGTAGGAATAGGTCTGACCTTTCCCAGTAGTTGGCCCACTCCATTGCTGCCCATAGGTTTGGTTCAGCATCCCCAGTCTCTTCTAGGAGCTTGTGGGCTTCATGTGTACATGAAGCATACTGTATACATGCATACTGCCCATGGGTGACCTGTCTACTGTAGACTTTTTTGACCCCGAAGCACAGGTCAATGGGAAGAAAGTACACCCAGCAGCTAACAGACTGACTCCAAAGGAGCTACTGGTTAGCCGTAGATGCTGCCCAAAGGAATATCCAATGCCACGAGCTGTGGTACGACACTAGGGTACGAGAACAAGATCTCCAGCCCAGAGGCTGCATATTGTTATGGAACCTAGGAATTACAGAAAAACACAAAATTGCTGATTGACGGAGAGCCAAGCCTTACACCATCATCAGGCAGTTGGGTGACTTCTCAGTGTATCAAATTGAGCCCCAAGATGGCCAGGGGAAAAAGAAGACAGTCCACCGGAATTTGCTGCTGCCAGTAGAGGAGCTTGTAGGGCTTACATAAAATGCTGTTAAGGGAAGTCCCATAAGACGTCATTCGGGCTGCAGGTGAGAACCCAAGTCATATGGCTTGAGAAGGAGGCACTTCCCTTGATGAGAGTTGAGTCGGAGTCCGAGTCTGAAGCTGAATACTGCACAGAGCTCCAACAGAGTATAAAAGTCTGGCAAATTCCCTGCTTGGGAAGTGCAAGCAATAGAGAGCCCACTGGTGTACCTGAAACTGAGATGAGCTCACCCCCTACAGAGCCAACCTCCTTAGAGGAAAGAGCCCCTGGGTCTCTTGCCAAACAAGAACAAGTTTCCCTGCCAGAAGACAAAGTCAATGAAAACAGCCCGACTACAGTGAGTGAAGTGCCTTGGAGCAACGAGCCTTCCTCTGAGGAAGTTGATGCCTTTAGGCCAGTCCGAACCTGGAAACCTGTAAAATGTCAGACCTACGACACTCCTGGAGTCACTGCAGAGGTTCTGATCTCCACACCATGGATGCAATAAATAGGTTTACCTGCCACAAAGCTACCCCATTTACCAGGGCAGTAAATTCCAACACGGCAGGATGTGATGAACAATGAAATCACGTGACCTAAGAGAACAAGGTCCCAGGGTGCACTCAGCCAGGCAGCAGTATGGGACAGCATGGCTCCTCAGAGACCGTATGATGCAGGCACCCATTTTGGAAACAGGAAAATGACTCTTCAGAGATCATGTGATAAGGGCAGATGAATCCCGCTTTGGAAGCAGCCATCCTGGGAATAAAGGAATGCCGTGAGAGAAGCCCAGAGGCTGAGGGAGAACTGGAAGGAGAGCATCCCGTCCTCAGAGCTGCCCGAGCCTGAGGAAAGCACAGGCTGTGCTATGGGCTGGAGGGTTAGGAAGCCCAGCTGCAGCGTGTCTCTTGCTCCTTTTCCACTCCCCAGGGGGGATGGGGGACTTGAGAGAGCTTGATCCAGCTCATGACTCGCTGGGAGGCAGAGCTAGGGGCCATTAGCCCTCCTCACATAGGGAAGGGCTCCTGTGAAAAAGAGTTAAGACCTGAGGGAAGGGGGCAAACTTTGACTGCCAGGGACTGCCAGGCAACCAGGGGTGTGCAGGTGTTGGCAGGGAAGACTGCCAGAGTTTCAGCCCAGACCCTGATCCCTGTGTGTCAGGAGACAAGGGTCTGGGCAGGGTAAGCTATTTTACAGGAATTTTGGTGAGGGAGCACCTGTCTGTAGCACAGCAACCCCTGGGGAACGCCTCGTGAGACCCTCACAGCAAGGATCCACCCATGCTTCCCGTGGGAAGGACGCGGAAGCAGCTCCACCTTCCCAGGCATCTGGTCCAGGCTGCCCATGTACACATATCATCCGAGGCCATCATTGTGTACAATATTATCAATTGGGGGTGTGAATAAGTTTCTGAGAGTTTATCAGTTGTGTATTAATTAGTTTCCTTTTCTTTAACCCTTTGTAAGCAAAGTGTACTTAGTTGTAAATTGCAGGGTGTCTAATCAAAGGTCCAGGGATACTAGGTGCCTTTGGAGCGCCTTCATCTGAACCCTTATGTAATGAGGGAATGAGGGTTCAGATTTTCATGGGATTGGGCCCTTTTAAAGTACTCTGTAGCAATGCACTTGTGTTTGGTCACAGCTGAAGAGCACTTTCAGGGGCCAGATAGGGTGAAAATTTTCACTTCAGTTTGCACCTTCAGTGCCTTTTCCAGTTCTGTCATGTCTATTCCTTGGGATACCATGGCATCGTTAACATACATGTATTGCTTGGATGTTGTATCTGGGAAGTCTGAGTTATATACACTGAAAAGTATTGGTGCTAGCACTGTCCGTTGGGAGACTCCATTCTTCAGAGTTCGTACTCTGGAAGAGGAGGTATATGCAAGTATACTAGATCTATACTTTCCAATCATATGAGACCATGTTGGGGTCAAGATGAAGCTACATGAGGGGGAGGTCATCTAGCTTTTATAAGAAATGAAGAAATGGTATACATAAAAAACCCTGCATGAAAAGAACATGATTAAGGCTGTAAAGTCAGCCAAATGGGGATACTTATACCCTTCCATTTCACAGGGCTGTTGTAAAAAACTGTGTAGCTTTCAGGTATTGTAGTGATGAGCATCAGAGAAAATCCCATGAGGAAATTAATAATTCTGTGTTCAGAGCAGGGTTAGAATAATACATATTAAATAAGATGTAAGGGAGGCAATACATTTAATGATCAGGAGAGCACTCATCAGGATTCTGTCCACTGAATGAGGGTCCAAAGGAAAAGATAGTATGTGATCATGTAATTATTGATTGAATCATAATGCAGACACACCAGAGTTAGAATGGCTTGGGGTTTGCGAGCGCACTCTGTCAAACACTTGGCCTCGAACAATGCAGTTCGTGTCAGGCATACAAGCTGCTTTCTGAATTTTTTTATAAATCCTTAACAAATCTGATCTGGTCCCTATCACACAGTGAAAAGTTTTTAATTTGTCTTTTTTTACAGTTCAGACATGATCCTGAAATCTGTCTATATATTTTCCAAGGCTACCTATCACCAGGGTCTGCAAGCATTTTCCAGGAGAACTTGAAAACAAACACTAAAAGAACATAGCTATTATGCATGTATATTCACTAGGATTTTGCCTGTGCCTAGACTGGAGTATGGGCTCTTATTGTTGATTATTAACAGGGTCTTAATTTTACATTGCTCTGAAACAATGTGCTGATTCTCTAAAACCTAGCTTGTACAATCAAACTTTTGACTGCTCTCCTGGAAGCTTAGATTTGTATCAGCCATCTATCCTGTGTTTGCAGAAGTCTTACAGATACAATTCATTTAGCAGGTTATGTAAAATTGCATTCTATCATCTTAAAATAGATAGTGGTTCAAGCTAGACAGATGTGAAATGCAGATAATCAGTTGGACATTGTGTTATTACCGATGCATCATTGTTTTTAATTGATTAATCAGATAAGAAGGACCGGGGTGGTTTTATAACAAATGGTAATTTTCTTCCTCTCTCGCATGTGTATGTTATAGGAAGCAATAGACCACAGAAAATGGCGACCTCCTTTGATTTTACTGCAGATCTGGCCACAGGAAATGTTGCACATTTGGATCAAGCAGGATAAACAGTAAGGGCTTCCTCTTTTTGTGAAATCATCTTTAAGCAGCACCCCTCCCCAGGAAAATAGGTTTTCCACTTTACATAATGTTGCAGCAGCAGTGGTAAAAAGTGGTTTGTTCCTAAATTTTTCTGGGTAGGTTATGAACTTTACGGCTCTGACCACAGATCAGTTATTTATCATAACAGGAAAGATGAGACCTAAGATATTTCCTAACCTTCTTTGCAGATCAGACCAGGAGCAAGCCAGCAAACATTAACGCCTCATATCTAACTGACAAAGATTACTCAGAAATATTTACTCTGTTTTTCAAACAAGATTTAGTTGAACACAGCTGTAATTTTAAAACATCTAGCAGCACAGTGTTTTTCAGAATCCTAAGCGCCCAGTATAATGACACATAATTAGCAAGGTCACTCACAGAAATAAAAACGTAATTTTGTTTTAAGAGCTAAATTAGATGCTTGCAAATATGAGATTTCTCTCCAAGAAGATTCCTGAGCTGTGCAATTAATGTTTCTGGTACATGTTTTATAAGATACCTTTGTGGAACTTGCAGTGAAATTCTACACACAAAGCACTTCCTTGAAGTATTCTTGGGAGTATAACAACTTTCTGAATCCAAAGCAATTTTCCCTCTGCACTGAGCAGGCTGAAAGCACTGCACTTCGGTAATAGATTTAATATATTTTTAATATGCAGGAGAAGATGAACAACTGCATGAAAGTGTGCTCCTAATTCATAAGGCTGTATGACTAGCTGCACATTATTTGGATTGCTCAAGTTACTGCACCACATACCTACAGTGTAGGATATTACATACAGGGCTGGGTTACAGCATTTAACCACAGGCCTGCACTGTGCTGGTTCATAGCTGCACTGTGGAGGAAGGGAGGTGAGGTGTGACAATAGCCTTGGAGTCACTGGCATGCGAGAGAGTTATTACCCCCTGCAAGCCAAACCTAGCATTGGTAAATGGGGACAGTAAAAACTGGCACAATCTCTTGCCAGCAGTCTGGTGGGTAAAACTATAATTCAAGGATTGGGTTCAAGATTTTCTCTGAGTGGTACTCAGTTGGGTTATGACAGCAGGCTGTGGTGCCTTGAGACCCTCTCAAGGGTGCCACAAGGTGCCACACAATGTTAGCACTGTAGGTGTGCAAACATGATTGACAAGATAAACCAGAGCTTTCCGAAAGGAGTCTATAGTATTGAAGACATTCTGCCCTGTTGTGAACCTTCTGCGATCTTCGCAGCAGAAGAGCTTTTCTGTTATTTTTCTGTAGTCAAAAAAGTGAAATCTAAGATCTGGCATTTTCCAATGTGTGCCTTCAGTTTAAAAAGATTGAATGTCACTGGTCTACACAAACAGTACAACCTGCTCTCCACTCACTGTGGCCAGTCAACTAAAGGACCATAAAGGGAGAAACTTGGGGTCATGGCTCTACCTTCTGCAGGGCAGTTTGCACCCCAGCAAGTGCATATCCTGCATGATGCACCCTTTCCCACCAGAGACCAGTGATGAGCTGCATTAGTGCAATGTAGTACATGCTATCACTGCCCTCCCCTCCTCCCTTCATTCCTTTTTTTCTCTCCCCAGATTGCCACATGTAGTTCTGTGTTTTGTTTCTTTATCTTACACTACAATAACTATCATAAGGAACTCCAAATATCAGTTCCTGTCAGAGGCACTCAGTATGTTGAGGGCATTTGCTTTTGCCCTTGAAGCGCTAGGGTCAGCGTTACTCACTAGTTTAACTGTCATTTTGTTTCCAGACACTCCACCTGGGCCCTTCCCAACCTCTGGTTGAATAAGGTTGTTTCCAACAAGTCCACCCTTGTGATGCAAGGTGGGGCACCACAAGGTCAAGGCAGACAAGAGACACAGGTTGTATTATAAAACCAGAGTGTCTTTCCAATGACCTCAATGAACTTGGGATGAGGGAGTTACTCCCGGGTTCATTTTGAGATTAGTCAGGAAATTTCTGATTCACATGGACTTGAATTCCTGGGTTAGGGACAGACATTGCATATAAACCAGTTTAAGTGATCAGAAACTACTTTAAACCTGTAACAGAACAGATGTTCAGTGCACATAAACCAGTTTCAAAATGGCCAAAACCAGTTTGAGATAAACCTGGTTGAATGTAGTATCAGACTTAAGTGATTGAGCTCAAACCGGTTTATGCAATGTCTGTCCCAGGCCCCTTCCTGGGTTAAGTTAAACCAGAATCCCCCAGCAACCCAGCATGCTCTC